GGAGCGAAGCCGCACAGCCGTTGCCGGAGAGCGCTGCCTTTTTCCTGGGACAATTTGGCTTTTAAAACAACCACCCGTGAGTACTTAAGTTTTGGACAATTGGACTCTAAATAAGGATTTGCGAGCAGAAAGGAAAACTGGACTTAAAAGTTTAATTTAATTTGGCACTGAAACGGGAAGGTCTAAACAGGAAGTCAGCCTTCCGTTTCTTTGTAGATAGATTAAAGCAAAGACACGGCAAACTAGAGTTCTGAAAATTGTTTCTAAAGGATTAACTTTAACAATTAAAAATTGCTGAACCCTCTTCGGAAGCAGGAGAAGAGGGGGGATTTTTTCCGGACTGTTTAAACCTGCAGAAGTGAGTGTAAAGTAAAGTAACTTTCCACCGTCTTGATCCTGGAGCGGGGGTCAGGACTGACGTTTTTTGAAGCTCATTGACCAGAGACAAACGTTTTTGACAGATAGCTAAAGGAAGAGATACATAGTGATTCCATTGTTCCCCTTCGCTTTTTAAAGGAACAAATACTGACAAAATATCTGAAAAAGGAAACTTTGTTGTTAGATCTGTTTTTAAAAGAAAAGAACAAACAGAAGTTCTTCCCCTAGAGGAAGCCTGTGAAACTGTAACCAATTTTGAATCGGGGAGCCAGCAGCTGTTACAGATTATGATCATGGGAATAGACTTCTGACCTTGCAGGACAATGTACTCAGAAGCTCTGTTGAGTGCTTTCTGTAAAACAAGTGCCCTATTGGAACAGCTACATGAGAAGACGGATTTTATGACTGATGCGATTAGACTGATGACTGATGCGATTAGAAATTTTGGACAGGCAGTGGGAAACTATATAGAGCCCACCCAGGAATCAGATCAGGAGTGTGCCCTGACAGAACAGATGAGGGAAGAGGATGTTGCTGAATCTCGGGCGCCAGAGATGGAGGGAGTTGCGGCCCAGCAGGAACATGAATTCTTGGACTTGACAAATGAACTTGGAAAAAGCCAGATTTGGAAAGATAAAGTTTGGTTTGGCTTGGAAATGGGGGGTTGGATAGACCCCCCTATGCAGGGAGGTTTGGACTTTTTGAGTCTGGCAATGGGCCGTGAGATGTTTGGGGTTGTGGGGGCTCTCAATTTTGGAGGGACTTTGAAACATGTTCTTAAATATCACATGGAGCTTAGTGTGGACTATGGAAAAGGGGCTGATTTGTCGAGAAGGGTCCAAAGCATTCTCAAGCTGGAGTTCCCAAGAGTGAAAGAACTAGGAGACAAAGGAAAATACAGCTATAAATATGAAGAAGAGCTGCGGAAGGGACATGGAAGGGACTTAAGGGCCTCGGACATAAGGTTACCAGGTTAATGCGCCAGATTGATGGGATAGAAAGGACTGACAAAACCCGGGTCCAGGAGGAAGAGACGCTGGATGAAGATTGGATTGTTATTCTTTCTTTTTTATTATGATTGTTTTATAAAATTGATGAATGTTAGAAAGATGTTGAAACGAAATTATTTGGCTCTAGTAAAAATGTTTAAAGAATTATGTAAGAATATTATGGTCATGAGAAATTGGTAAAAATAAGATTTAAGTTTTAAGTTTTAAGGTTTTCATAGTAAGATAAGATTAAAATAGATTAAGGTAAAGTAATGACAGAATATTATGAAATATGGAAAGGATTTGCTGCGACAATTAACAACTAGGATACAAAAAAGGGAGGAGGAGGTCAAAGAAAGAAGGCAATGACAATTAAAGAGTTGAGAATATTGGATTTGTTTTTAAATGTTTGAGACATATTTTTGTTTTTTAATTGTGTTGTGTTATTTTTTGATCTTGATTTTTATTAATCTGTATTGTTGGATTGTGGTTTGTCTTTTCTCTGTTTTTTCTTTCTTTTTTTTCTTCTTTCTTTTTTTTGTAATTCTAAAATTTTCAATAAATATTTTTTTTAAAAAAAGAATGTCAGGCTTATTGAAGGCACAGGGGCAGTGTTTAAATTGATTTTAAAAAAACAAAGGCAAGCCTCAGCCTATCATTGGAACTGTGATAAATTAGATATTTCTTATGCAGGTCCAGCCAAACCCTGCAGCAAGGTGAACTTCCCTATTTCAGACTGCACAACGGGGATAGGCAGACAGCTGAAGACAGGAATTGGAGCCTAAACAGAGCCATAAAACTTTTACAAGTGTTCCTTCTTGTGTTTCAAAGTGTTGGTGTCTTGGTCTGGGCCTCTTCTCATGGAGGACCACAAGATAGTTTATTCAGTAGTCTGAGAAAGAGTTTAAAGAAATATCTCTATTTGTGCTACTTGGGGTTTTCTGTTTTCTGACAGCTACAACATTTGCCAGAATGTGGTCCAAAGGATTCAGTTTGTACTAAGACTGCTGCACAGCACTGGGATATTCTTTTTCAGTTGGCTTTTCTTATCTTCAGATGTCTCAAATACCTTTGGAAGAACAAAGAGGTTCTTAATATTCTCTAAAGTTTTTATTGTTCATTAGCTCCCCTTTTAAGCTTGGGACAGTGGAAATTTCCAAATTAGTCCAAGCAAAATGTTTGATGTTATCCCTCTCACCTCAGAATAATTGTCTTATCAAAACTAAATGTAAACTTCTAGTGAGGTACTTGGCTACCTTAATTATTGGCACTCATTCCAATTATATGTTAATTAATTTAGCCTAGCAGGTGTTCCTAGCAACTAAGGAAGAAATGGGCTGTAAAACATAATGAAACAATCACTTTTATTATTCTTCCCCCAGCCCCACAACAAGAGAGCTACTTTTAAGGGTGCAAAGGGCTATCTTGAACGTCCAATAACAAGCAGGCCTTCAACTGTCAGACACGTAACTGTGACAGTCTCTGAGGTAACCAGATACTAAGGAGAATGAAGCCATTATATTGTTAATAGCTGTGTGTGGAAGATGGAATTTCAGCAGTTGCTACTTATCACGTATGAGTAGGAAAACCTGCACTTATTTAAAATGCAACTTCTGCATAACCATTAAGCATACAGGAGCCACCTGCCATTTTATCTTGTTTACTCTTAATATTCTCTGCTATCTGGTTTCAAATATATTGATTTTTTATATTTAAAGAAATGCAGTATTTTCCTCCACCTAGAATTTTTGTTTTTGATAAATACAACCATTATGTGTTATCAGATTTCAAGGCAGTTTATAATGACAGTACAACACATTACAATGCAGAGTAACAGCAGCAGAAAAAACACCGTAATAAGTAAAAACATCTAAATTTAAAACAATTGTATGCAAAGAAATCTTTTTACCTGAACAGCAACAATGTCAGTAACATCTCTTTGGGGAGGATATTCTGTAGCTGGGGTTTCACAGGTAAACAAGCCTTCTCCCACATTGAAATCTGCCTCACCTCAGAAATGTCCTGCACTAACACCCTTTCTAAGGTGACTTTCTTTCAATAATATACCCATTATTTCCTTCAATCACATTTGATCTCCACCCCTTCACAGCCAGTTTATATAAAAAGCAAGCCCTGTGCTCAGGATTACAGGTTCAGTAGTCAAGTTGAGGGCTTATTGAAGTCAAGCCACCAGATCCTTATTATTGGATACCAATCCAAAAAACAATACCGTTCCCCTCCCCATTTAAGTTATGTTTGTGGCTGGCTAGAGAAACATTATCAGTATTGTGAGGAGAATCAGAACTTACAGGGTTAAACAGTTCTGTGTGACGTCTCACATTCTGAGGCGTGGTTTGGTTCACATACGGGAATCTTTCTTTGTGTGTGAGTTTCCTTTCGTTTTTGGCTGAGAGGCGAGAAGGATGCTTGCTCTCTCGACGGGACTGATTTATGATGTTTTTCTTCTCATTAAAGGCTGTTAGAAATTAGCAAGAAGCCTGCGTTCAGTCTGATTTATTATCCACACACAAGGCAACACTTTCTACCACTGCAGAACTCTGCTATGAACTCTGCTAAGAGCTCAAGTTTTTTCTATCGGCACAAGCGTCCATCGGCACAGGGGAAGTGTGCCGGGCGCCATCTTATCTCATTTTGGTTCCCCAGACTAGTAATCTCAATGGATGCCCTGAATAGCACATACTCTGTGGGTGCTGTAAGTGAACACACACTCCTTTTACAATATGGGAGGCTGTATATTCCTAAGCAATAATAATAGGTCAGGAAAATAGTAATGAGAATTATAACACTTTCTTACAGACCTCCGATGTTTTGTATCCTCTGCCTCTGGACATGTATGCTGTTTTTATTTATCTATTCATATATTTTATTCAGTCTGTGTCAAAGTTCATTTCATTGTCATTATCACTGTATCTGGGCTTTGACTTTCCTTTTGATTAATGGAAAATATCCCTGGCAAATGTAGTAGCTTAAGGGCTGTAATGAATCCATGCTATCCTCCTTCTATGCTAGCCTCTTTTTTCTTTCTCTCAAGGCACACATTAAAAACATAGCGACATTAAACTGCAGCACAGCTTTCTCTAACGCCTCCTTCTTCAGCAGCCGACTATCTTTTATGCAGTATAGCAGCCTCCTATTCTTGCCACACCTGATCCTGATTGCTAGTGTAACTGTACAAGACCAAAGGCATTTGCCCCTCCTGCATCATCCAGTCCCGGCCATTACAGTCAATCCTGCTCTCCCCCCCCCCAACTTTTGAGGAGACTTTAACCTTAAGCAATCCAGGCAGGCACTTCCCACACATTTTTTATTGTTTTATTATATTTGTAAACCACTTTGAGGGGCCCCCACACACAATCAAGCAGCATATAAGTGTGTGTGTGCTACAAACAGTTCCATCACACTGGCTATGTAATCTTGCCCTTCTTACTATTGGTGTGTTTCATTTCAAATGCACCCCTTACAGCAGGCATCCCCAACCTGCGGCCCTCCAGATGTTTTGGCCTACAATTCCCATGAGCCCTAGCTAACAGGACCAGTAGTCAGGGATGTTGGGAATTGTAGTCCAAAACATCTGGAGGGCTGAAGATTCGGGATGCCTGCCGGACTAAAAAGATGAATCTCCAGAAGCTATTTAAGGTGCTGGAGAATATAACAACAAAGAATTCTGCTTCCACAACCCAAAAGAAAATCAGAAACTCATGCATGCCAATAAAGCACTCTGAGGAAAAGCCCCACGCCCCAGCAGATCACACACCGCCCTCTAGTGGGGAAATAGGAAAACCAAAGGAAATTTTACCACCCAAGCAACCAACCCTTCGCTTAACATCACAAATAAATCCTGTGTACCCTAATATAACAAAAAAGGATCAAGATAAAACAACACAGACTTGTTGGAAGCTAATGCTAAACAAACATAAACTTGCCTTCACAATACTTCCCACAAACAGAGGTCATCCATCATATGCTCAAAGAAAAGTAAATAGTCCCGAAAAAATCGGAATAGTTACCAGGGGCCTTGTGACAGCAGAAAATATCATCAAGGTAAAATTCCTCCCTCGTGATACGGCCCAAAATAGGGCTATAGTGACTTTTAAGAACAGGCTCTCAACTAAACAGATCCTTTCTAATAAAAACAATTTCCTGAGGGCTGGCTTGCTTGTGCACCGTTTCTTCGAAAACATCGAAGACCCTTTACCACTTCTAGGAGCACATAGGCCAGTCAGACCAAAAACCAAAACCAGCACTGCAGAATCCAACAGCACTGGAAATGGTAAGCTGCTCTACCCAGAGGCTGGCAACCTTAAACAATCTGGCCGGTTGTACAAAACCCCGCCCTTGCCAAATAAGCTAGAAAAGGATTTCTCGTCAAAGGAAGAACAACTCCTAACAACCTACCTCGAGCAGATTCTACTTTCCCAGGATGCACTAATTGAAAGACTATCGACCATAAGGAACTTCCTTCCACCTCTAGCCCCGCCTCCTCCCATGGAATTTAATTACATCAATTGTAAATCAAAGCCTTTAACTAACGAGGAATGGACAACTTGTCGATATCTGGCTCCAGAAGAAACGGGCTCTCCTATACCCCCACCAACAGCCCAGTCCAAATTGCAACAAATCGAACTAGTGGTGCCAGCACCGGGAATTGGCCCAATCTTCATGGACTGCCGGGGAATCCTAGAAGGTATTCATGCAGAGGAATGAAATAAGGTCTTAGCGGGTGACTGCCTGAACAGACAAATTAATACCCCCAAATTAGCCTTTCCCCCAAAAGGCTCACCCATTCCTCCGCATCGCGGCTCAATCAAGCCAAACCCAAAGGACCTGAGGAATCAGCAGCAGAAAACAGCTATGAGTGCCTGGAATCTAAAAACCTAAGAACCAACTACTGCCCTAAACATCATCTCCTGGAATGTTGCCGGCTGGTCCAGATGCCTCTCCCATTCTACAGACATTCCCTTCTACCGTCAAAACTTTAATATCATCGCTCTCCAGGAGAAGTGGGCGGCCGAAAATCCATCACTGGAAGGATACTACACATATGCAGCAAATCTGATGGGCCTGTGCACATCGCTGCTCTTCACAAAGTTTGACCGTGATAATTGACACCTGAAGCAGATATTGCCTGGAATCATGCAATCATCTCCCTTAATCATCTGTCTTAAACCAAACCCTCTTGTGGCTGTACTTACATGGTGCACTGGTCATTTGTGATCTCTCCTGCCATGAAGTGAGTTGAGTTATTACCTTGCTTCAGTAATTTGTTGGCAACCTGAAGATGCACAGGCTATAATATGTCCAGAGGCTACAGACGACCTGATCCCCATGAAGTCTGAACTGTCATGAGCTAACTTTTTAATAAAGATATATGAATTTATTTTAAATAAAAAAGAAGAAGAAGATTCGGGATGCCTGCCTTACAGTGATGCCATTAAAGCTGGTTCTGCCCTTCTTAACGCTTTAATCCAATCCAAACCAGCCTGCCTTACTGCCTTATAGCCAATCTCCCCACCCACTCCTAACTGCTGAAAGTTTATGACCAGAAGGACCAGCAACCTACTTTTTCAATTTATTATGTTTAGTTTTTAAAGAATGTTCACCAAGTGGAGGATGGCCCATTAGGCAAGTTAAGCATCACCACACCAAGCTTAGTCTGTGCCCACCTTCCTGCCTCCTAACTTATGGCCAGACTAGGAGGTGACACTGGCTGTCAGCTTCCTTTTCCTCCTTCCTTTGTAGAATTTGGCAGACAGGAGAATGGGAACGAAACCAGTTGGCTCTGCCTGTCGTTGGCTCAGGAGGCACCTACCGTTGGTTTTTCTGACTTCCACTCCTCCAGGCCTAATGGGAACCAGTCACCACTGCCTTTGCACAAAGAGATTAATTTTAATTATATTTATAAAGATAACAGGATTGGAAGAATAATGTGAACGGGGCTTGCTGCCACTTTAAAGGCTCTGTGCCTTTAGCAGCCACATGAAAGCAACTGGTGCAGTCTTTCATAGTTCTGCATAGTCTTGCCAGAAAAAAAAAAACCCTGTTGATTTCATGCCCACCATGCAGTTATTAAATGAGCAGAGTATAGATGCCAAGGTAGAAAGAAGCTTGTAGATTAAGATACTCTATTATTATCTTGGAGTGTGTGTGCGCTGCATTATTACACCCATGAAGATTTATGAGCAATGAGAAGAATATAATGACAATGTTGCATTGGTAGTTAGAAGTTACTTGTTATGTAAATTGCTATTAGTAGCACCTACAGTCCTGAATGATTGATTATATGCCACGATCAATGCTGTGATTGCACCAGCCCTAGTTCTGTTTCTTGTGGCTTCTTCTACGCTCCTTTGTTGTTGTCAAGTTGTTTTTGCTGTAAATTTTACCGTAATTTCCTAAAACCTTTACCTTTAGCAGTTTTCCCCATCAGTTTCTTTTATTCTAAACTTTTGTTTCATTTTCATTCAGTTCAAAGTCCCTTCAGTTCGATATTTGCTTCTCTAGGTTCCTTTGCATTTCTGAGGCATTGACAAGAAATTCTAACTGTGACTGCACATGGCACTTAAAATTCTGCTTTATTACCCATCACAATCCATATGCTCATGGCAAAGACAAAAGGTAGCAGGCAATGCTGACACAGGATGACTGTCTTGCAGCAAATTTCTAACAATGTTACTCAGAGGTAAGTCTGCTTAGAAATGCAGACGTTCAAGTTATTAGGAGCTGCCTCTGTTTTATTGTTTATGATGGGGTTTTTTTGTGTTTTTTTAGAAATGGTGTTTGTTTTGCTCTTGGTTTCATAACATTAATTGTGTTTCACTGCTTATTTAATGTTTTTAAACTGCCCAGGAATCTGTTTTGATGAAGGGCAGTCCAGGTCTATAAATAAATAATAATACAATAAATTTTCAACAAGCTGGAAAAAATATCAATGCATATAACATACACTGTATGATCCACAAATGATTTATGCTTCCTTACATGTAATTCAATTTAAGTGATATGTTTGTGGATTTGAGCCGTTCTGTACAGTGTCGTTTGAGGCTCTACTGAGTATCAGATCTTGCAAATTGCTCAAATGTGCTTAAATCCAGAAGATAAATCTAAGAAATGGAATCTTATGTAAGATCAGAGAGTTACTGAATTTCAAACACATTCCAGATATTGTGTGCTTTTCTTAATAAATAAGTAACAACTCTATATTCCTGTGTGGTTACATTCATAGGATTTTGACAAGCATCTACCCAACTTTTCTGTTGATGTGTTTTTTGCATGAGCTAAAAGCTACAAAGAATAATTAGCAATAATCATCACAGAAAAAAACCAAGCAACCAGTAGCATGTAAACCCATAGCTAGTAAACCACTTTATGGACCATACTTTTTATGAAGATCAACTCTGATGATGTCATTGGTACCATATCCTGACCTGCAGGTAACATGTCCACTTAGTTCAGCTTGTTCACTGTCTACCAGCCTGGTATCTCTGGAGTTTCATATGCAAAACTTAATGTCAATGACCATTCCCTATTGTTCACACTACAAATTCAGGACTCAGGGGTATATCGCTTCTGTAAATGGTGGTTCATTTAGATAGGTCTATTACACAGTAATTTGTTGTTCATCTACGGTAAAGCTCATCACCACATTTTTGTGTGTGGCATTACAGCTACCAGTAGAGAATTTGTACAGGTGTAACTCTGCCAACCTAGCAGTTCAAAAGCACATCAAAGCGCAAGTAGATAAATAGGTACCGCTCCGGCGGGAAGGTAAACGGCATTTCTGTGCGCTGCTCTGGTTCGCCAGAAGTGGCTTAGTCATGCTGGCCACATGACCCGGAAGCTGTCTGCGGACAAACGCCAGCTCCCTTGGCCAATAAAGCGAGATGAGCGCCGCAACCACAGAGTCGGTCACGACTGGACCTAATGGTCAGGGGTCCCTTTACCTTTACCTTTAACTCTGTCACCCTGGGCTCCTTCAGGAGGAATGGCAGAATACAATTTCGCTAAATAAATAATATATGACTGCCTTGTGTGATTCTTATTGCCTGCTTTAAGAACATGTTAAATGATATGGCCAGAGCTGGCCTGAGACATTTTGGCACCTGAGGCAAATGACAAAATGGCAGCTCCCCCATCAGGGAAGAAGGGGTGAGTAAAGATATATGCCAGGGTAAGCGAAGATCTACATTGGGAATGAGGGAGGAGTAAGATCTATATTTGGGGGAAAGGGGGCGGGAATCAAATAAACCTTACCTGACAAATGAAGTGGGAATCAAAGGCAGGAATGGGGCCCACTCTGAATCATTTCAGACAGGTACAGACTCCAGGAGACCCCAGAAGGCAGCCTCTGCCATTTCCTCCCTAAGGATGAAAGGAGACCAACAGCGTGTGGCAGCTGTGGAGGACAATGCATTCCTTGGAGGCTGGATGTGCTGCCCCTTTGGATCCTGCCACCCGAGGCGGTCACCTCACCTTGCCTCATGGGTGGACCCACCCTGGATCTAGCTCACTTTACCTCTGAAGGCGGTGTGCCACCAGCTGCACTGCAGGATGAGGACCACAAAATGAAGAACAAAGATGGTGATGAAGAAAGGATCATATGAAGGTGATAGTTTCAATGCATGTCAGGTAGGAGCTTTCAGTTGCCATCCTCGGTAGGCAGAAACTTTAGCCAACTTATTAACATCCACCTTGATAACCATAAAGTGGGTAGAAATTAGCTTGGTCCCAGGTGTTTAACAGCTGGCATATAAAGACTGTAATTGCGATAGATCAATTCTACAAGCTTGCTGCTGTCAACACCCTAATTCCCAAACCACACTTTCCTTTTAATGTTAAGTACTGTCAGTGCAACTTAACATTTCTTCCCTCTTGATTATCATAATCTATACCAATATTCCTTCAGGACTGGAAAAAAACCCCCTGCATTTCTCCACTGCTTGCAAAACCCTACTTAATACACATTTGGATTCTTCTTCTCACACAGAGAAATAATCTCTCAGGACCTGAGGCTTTTCAACACCTCCCTCTTTCTTTGATTTTTTTTATGTGCTTATTTCTTTGCCACTTACAATTTGATGGTTGATTAACAGAATGGAGCTGAAATGGGGCCCTGGATATTTATACGACTCTGCAATGCATCATTCTTTCAGTTATTTTTCAGGAGGGCTGGAAAGCAGATGATAACTTTGTAGCATAGATGCAAGTAGGCCAATGCTTGACAATGTCACATAATTGCCTTGGCAAAAATAGGAAAAGTTCCATTCCATTTTAGAGTAGTTTCATTTGACCTCTGTGATGATGTCCCATAGGTGAATCTGATTGGAAATCCGGCCCTATAATATCTCTGTTTTGGCTAGGATCGCTCAAGGAATAAACAAGCATGGTGATGAATGGTGCAGAAGCACCAGCAGAGGAGAATCAAGAATTATGCGTTATTATTGCAAAACAATACAAATATAGCAATGAAAAAATGGTAATGCCGAGCTGTTTCAATATGGAGAAACATCTAGCTCTCTAATGGTTCTCTTTTTGTTCTGAAAATATCTGTGGATCAAAATTCAGCACATCCTTATTGCTAAATGATGAGATAAGCCTTCTCACCTCAGTTCTACAAAAGTTTTTATGTAGGAAATGTGGTTAATATTGTGAAACCACAAACAACATTCAGTACCATTCAGTAGTGCAGGTTACTTTCATTTGCCTCTGGCTGTATGCACATGATCTAAGCAGAAGATATACAGAAATGCTCCTTTTTAATAAAGTCACTCACTTCTATTACATAAATCTGCGATGACCTGAATATGTAGATGGACACTGAGGATTTCTGTGTGTTATTAATTCACGTTACTTTTTTTTTGTTCAACAAAAAGCTTAATACCTGTGTTATAATTTTTTGTTATTGGGCCACTGCTTTCTTTTCCTTTTCCTTTCAAGGTCACTTAACTACAGGTACTCCCATGACCCTATTTTCATACACAGTTGAGAATGGTTTGAAAAATGTGACTTAGATATAAGTGGATATTTTCATGAGGATCAGAGTCCTTGGGGAAAAGAAAGGAACAAAACATTATTTTGCTAAAACTTTGTGGAATGTTTCCCTCTTTACT